TGGTGATTTACTTATTTTGATTTACTCTTTTTCACAAATCTCAAATCCACAGGCCACATGATCAGTAGCCAATATACTGATTTCTGTGTTCTTTTTGGAGTTGCCTACAAGTGGAGTCGAGCTCGTGATAATACCCTTCGGAAGCAATAGGAATATATTCCAAATTAGGTCTACGGGCTTGTCTCGAAAAAAAATTACGTAGCATTTAAACTGAGAACCCAAATGGAAATATATACACATCTGATGCTATCTATATGATAAAATTTGTAAAATATGTAGAACTAGACTTAATTCATCTGTTCTAACTATGTTAATTATCGAGGTTAGTATTTGGTTTAAATGAGGGTTCCTTAATAAATGACTAAGAAGAATAAACGTTTTCTGAATAATTTAATTTTATAGCGGCCAGTAAAATATTAGACATCATATGGTTATAAGAACTGCAGTTCCTCTAGGTAACAGGAGGTGCTGATGCATTTCACTTAACATTGCTGCACAAAAGGTTTTTCCATCCAAGATGGACTGCAGTTCCAACCTCATCAAGCCTCCTTCATATCACATTTTAATAGTGGGCTTTAATATACAATTACAGTAGTTGATGCTACTTTTATTCGTAATAAGTAGGCTTTAAAGACACTAGAAAATTTATTTGTTGATACTTTTGATTTGTTTATGTTAGTCCTCGTGCACCGTCGTCTCAGCAACTCTGATCCATTATTATAGAACTTTCCTTTTTTCCCAAATGGCAGATATTGTCGGAGCGAACTAAATTTCTTTAATTAAATTCATCAATAATGGTCGTAATATTTCTTACATATAACCTAATTTTTATAAATCTTAATTAAGCATCCAATTTTTCGTTTTTCTACTTCATTCTCCTTGAATCAGATGTTTTCGTTTCCCTTACCAAACTCCTGTACTGTACTTCTGCAATGCTGATGTTCTTACATATGATTGCACATGTTTGGTTGCTTGGGCCTTACGCAGCTCTAATCCAAGATTCACTGGTAATACTGGATTACCTCGAAAGTTATATCTACCCCTTAAACCACCGACCTCCATGTCAATTTGACGTAGGGGTAATGTTGAAAATATACGGGTGCTAATAAAGCCAAAATGAGGTAGAGACTGTAGTCCAGCCTGGGTGGAAATACATTTTGGAAGATATGGCTAAGTGGAATTCTCTGGCATCGTGTGGCATATCCGTATTATTAGAGGGAAATTCAATTGTCAGCCCGTCATCACCGTATGCAACTTAGGGTGAATGCAGCTCTAAAGATCAACTGGTAGAACTAAAACCTACTCAATATGATCATGTGGTTGTTTTTTTGACACGTGAGGTTCGTTAACTCATGTTTTTGTATCTGTACCCTCGGGGGCATAGCATTTATTTGAATATTTGCTTCGGACTTTTCTCTCTTTTTCTATTTCTATCATTACTTTTATCTTTTATTTCTGCTTTGTCTGGTTATATGCTAACCTTTTTATCTGCCCCATGATGTTTATCATTTTATATACGCATATCTTTCCTCCACATATTTTTTAACTTCATAATTGATTTGCCTAGCCTTGCATGTAATTATCTAGTTATGTATCTATTCTATCTAGTTTCCTATGCATTACCCCAATTATCTATCCATCTATATATAACAGTATTCTTTTTTTTAAGGGCTATATCTACTGCATTATCTAATAATAACGGTATTGGTAAAGTATAATATGAATATTATCATCGTATTATAGCCATCTGTATTGCATTGGGTCACGAGTAGTTCGAATTGATTTAATTCTATTAATCTAGTTACTTATCGGAACCTTGGAATTCTGGACATAATGCTAAAGAATTTACTTAACGTTTTCATTCACTACATGAATTCCTCACTTACTAAGCATCAAAAAAATTTCTATGCTATATCCTTACCAAATTGCTCGCCAACATTTTAATTTTTTCTAAAGCATAACGAGCGAGCAAATATGCTTCATTCTCCATTTTTTCTCATTTCTGAAATTCATTAACCCTACTTCTTTCCCGGCATGCAGACCAACTTGGCCAAAAACCGACTCCTTAGCATCATTCCTCACAATGCGAACCGGGTCATTCTCTCTTCGATCCGTGGGGTTGACGGCTCAGACTATGTAAATGCCAGCTACATCGATGGCTACCGTTCTCGAGCGCCATATATTGCCACACAGGCTCCGCTCACTGCAACGTTGGAAGACTTTTGGCGCATGCTCTGGGAGACGGAGTCTAACCTGATCGTCCGACTCCAGGCGACACCAAGCAAGATGGATCCCTGTGCGGACGATATGGTTAGCAGACTACTTGTTTGCCTTGTCTGAAACAAGGGGAAAAAATTTATATATATATATATATATGATATTTTTCACTTGGCCTGCCCCCTATATATAGAATACAACTTGTTAACTACTTACTTGGAAGCTGAAAGTGGTAGAATTCGACAAACATTAATTGATTTTTTACCAGATTGAACATGGCAATTGCAACCCTCATACCTTTTCCAATTAATTTTCTCAATTATGTTAATTTTCCTATTGGTTTCGAATCAATTTTGAAATATGATTTTGTTGTGCGTGTGTAAGCTATTCATTTTACCTAACTTTAAACTACTTACATACTTATCTATTTACGAACGCAAACATTTTGATAGTGATTCACATCTTATATTATTGAGTTATATCGGTTCTGTAAGTGGTCGCTAAAAGTGGTTACTAAAAATTCACGCTCTCCAAAATGTATATACTCTTCTATCAGCATGTGTTTTTACCAATATTATTTACATGTTGATACATCCGGTTGTACAAGTAAAGAAAATTGGGTCGCTCGGCCATTTATATCATAAAAACGACTTTCTTCCATGGAAATCTTCACACTTAGTTCTTCATACG